GCGGATCTGCTTGGTTTTCACCCCGTAAACGATGGGGTTCAGCATGGGTGGCATCAGGAGGTAGAGGTTGCCCAGCAGGATGTTGACGGAGAGGGGGACGCTCTGGCAGAAGCGGTGCGCCAGGAAGGAGAAGAGCCCAGGGACGTAGAACACGAGGATGATGCAGAAATGGGATGTGCAGGTGCTGAGAGCCTTGAGCCGGGCCTGGCTGGAGGGGAGGACGAAGACAGCCCGGAGGATCATCACGTAGGACAGAGCAATGGACATGCCATCCAGCCCCCCCACCAGCAGGGCCACGACCAGGCCATAGGCTGCATTGACTGTGGTGTCTGCGCAGGCCAGCTTCACCACGGCCATGTGCTCGCAGTAGGAGTGGTGGATGATGTAGGCCTGGCAGAATGGCAGCTTCCCGAGGAGCAAGGGGAAGGGGGCTATCACAACGAGGCCTCTGACCAAGACCAGCAGCGCTATCTTGGCCACCATACTGGTTTTCAAGATGGCTGCATGCCGGAGGGGGTTGCAGATGGCCACGTAGCGGTCTAACGCCATGGCCACCAGGATGCCCGACTCCACCAGCGAGGCAGCATGGACGAAGAACATCTGGGTGAGGCAGGCGTGGAACTCAATCTCCCTGTCTCCGAGCCAGAAGACGCTCATCATTTTGGGCAGGGTGGACGTGGACAGGACCAGGTCGGTGATGGTCAGCATGGCCAGGAAGAGGTACATGGGTTCATGCAGGCTGGGGTCTGTCCTTATAACAAACAGAACAATGCCGTTCCCCAGCAAGGCCACGATATACATGGAGCACAGAGGGATCCCAACCCAGTGCTGCGTGGATTCAAGCCCCGGTATGCCGACCAGGAGGAACATGGGAGGTCTGAGGCTGCTGTTGTTCATGGGTGACATGATCTGCTGAGGGCCACATCTGACTCGCGCAGAACAGCTCCAGAGACCTGCAAGTGATTAATAGAGTGTGTGACGGCCTTGTGCGTGCAAAGAATGGCTAGTCAGCTGGCTGGCTGTGAGCCAGGGTAGTTCTACGGCTGATCTCCATAACAGTTCTCGGGGCCTGGGGCTGTGAGTCACCTCGTCACCCCTGGCCACCAGTGTGAAGGAGTCTTGTCTCTGTCTGTCTGCGGTCAGCTCCCTGGTCCCACCAGCCTTCAGCCACTCACGCCCTCTCCTCCAGGCCAGCCCAGGCCTCTCTCTGCCTGGCAGAGTAACTGGTACCCCCATTCCTTTCACTCTGTCCCCTGTAATATCCAGCCCCCGACACTGGCTACTCAAAGACATCCCATAT